GGTCTTTCCTTACCTCCCAAACCACTTCCAAAGCCACTGGAGTTTTCTCAGTCCTTTTAGCCCCTAACAAGTCGGTGGCTTCTGGCACTCTTCAGTGCCTACCTTCTTCCAATTCCCTGTTTCATTGCTTCTGTAGCCTTGATTTTTCCTGGTTTCTCTCTCACCTCTCTGGTCCTTCCACCATTTCCTTCCATGACTCATTTTTCCCCTTTCATTACCTACTTCCTAACTGAAGTCACCTTCCAAGGTTAACCCCTGGCCTTCTGGTCTTTTCTTGCCACATTTTTTTCCCTCAACAAACTGAACTTAGCTTTTGGTTTTGACTACTGTCTCTAAACACATACGTCTGAGGGCTGTCCCCCAAGCCCAGAGTTACATGTGAAGGTCAAGGGGAGAGCCTTCGATGTATTCCTAACCAGGTAGGAGAAAACTCCATGGGGAAACATCACTGCCTCTCACTATCCAGTCACCTTCCATCCAACCTTCTCTAAACCTACCAGTGGCAGCACTATGCTTTCCACCCCATCATGTCAGCTTGAAACTGCAGCTTACCAACTCAACAGTTTTCCTTCATTGACGCATGCCTGCGTGCAGTGAGTGTTTGCTGAGTGCCCACCACTCTCCAGGCCCAGGGCACAAGACAGTGAGTAAGCACACACGGCTCCTGACCACAGGGAGCTCACAGCCTACCAGAGGAGACAGGTGTTCAATAAGAATTGCACAGCGAACAACTTAATCTAGTTGTGATCAACTGCTATCATGGAAAAATACAGGAGGTGGTAAGAGCATATAAAAGGACACTTAACATAACAGGAGTGGGGAGGGTAGCCAGGGAAAGCTTCATGGCGAAAGGAAGAAAGACACCCAGTCATGGAGAGCTTTATACCCGACGCTTTACTAGATTCAGTCACAGCTTCTCTCGTATCCCTCCCTTTTTATCCCATCCTCAGTTCTCTTCCACCAAGGCAAAAGTTCCTGCTGCCAGGTTAATACGTCTAATACCTTGCTAACAACATCAAGCAGCTGCCCACTGCTTCCGGAACCAAGCCTGGTTGATCCTTAGTGCAGCACGGACGGCCCTGCCATAACCTGGTTCTACCAAACACATGGACCCTCTCCCCCAATATGCGCTTCCTCTACCCTGCAGGTTGGACCCACCATTCTGGGAATACTCCGCACTAGAGTCTCGGCACAATGTGCTCTACTGAATCAAAAGTGCTAAGTGAAATTGGCCACATTCTTGGGTCTTTGGTTTTCCTCCACTTAAATTCAAGGAAACTGCCAAAGACCTGACATTATGCCCACTTCTCACGTTCTATCACTAGCAGAGAATAAGTTCCATATTGACCATTAAGTGGCAGGAGCTAAAAAAACTGGGTGAATGATGGCCCCTGAGTAGACAGGCTCTGTAAAGAATCACATTATAAAATTTCCTTGAAGTGCCAAAGGACCACATGAAACTCTCCTTCATTGCTTCACTTGTTGCCACAAGGAGCTCAGGGTATGCAAAAGCAATGGAATAATTTCTCTTCCCTTTTTGACTTCCCATAATACTCATTATCAGCATCACATATTTTATCCCCCAACAGAATTAAGGGATACTCTCTTTCACAGACATAAAACATTTCTGGAAAAGTTTAAGCCACTGAATGTGTGTAAAGTATGAAAAATTTTTGCTCATTAAAGATTTCTGGCCACTTTGTCAATTTAAGAACATAAAAATGTGCTTCACTTAAAAGTATCACTTACGTAAGTAATAATTATAAATCTCTACTGAGTTTGCTTTGAAATGTTCTTAATTTTAGTTCAAATGGCTTTATAAGACTGACTTTCAATGAATCTGCATCAATTAGTTTTGGAAGCTACTAGAAAGAGAGGAGGAAGGAGAAAGAGAAAGAGGGAGAGAAAGGAGATTTGAGGATATAGATGAAACTATTAACATAAAAGCAAAACAAAGAAAAACCATCTTCGTTGGTTTAGTGTACTTCCCTGTGTTAAGTAGATACAAAAGGTACTCATTTTCATAGGAGGAGTAGGAAAATTAGTGTCATTCAATACAGTTTTGCTGTGTAGAGCTCCATCTGATCAGTGTCATTTTCAAAACTATCCTAATTAGTCATTTCTGCCCCGATACTTCATTTTTACTGTCTGAAAACAGACAGTTTGTCCAGATTAAGACAGTGTTCCTTACCTTTTTACATGGGACGTTTATTTCCCAATTTAATGAGACCATTTCCAAACAAATATTATATTCATTCATATATAGAGAAAAGAGTGGAACCATATTGGAAGGAAAATATGCTTAGCAGAATTCCAGCCTACGCTCTTAGGCAAAAGTGTATTCTTTCTTTTTTTTAATCTTTCTTTCTCTTTCCTTCTTTCTCCATACCCAGCATGGAGCCCATGTGGGGCTTGAACTCACGACCCTGAGATCAAGAGCTGAGCTGAGACCAAGAGCCAGATGCTTAACTGACTGAGCCACCCAGGTGCCCCACCTAGGCAAAAGTGTGTTCTTAACATCAAGATCATATTAGCAGTTCTAACTTTATTTTAGTTTTATCTTTATTTATTATAAACTAGTGGTTTGCAGCAACATGAATTAAAAAACATTTTCCATCTTGATAAAGTCTTTCACTTTACTTTCTTCCATATTTTAAAAGACAAATTCAGAGTATGCATCAACTGGGAGGAGTGTGCAGCAAAAAGCAAAATTCAGATGCCAATTTCGCTGACCAGAGTACCTCTAAGACTCATATGGAGCTATCAACTCCTGTTCTTGAGGAGGTTCTATAGTGGATTAAGGTTTCCAGATACTGCTCCCAAAAGAGATGCCTTTTTTTCCAGTTAACTCTCAGACCATTTCCCTACCCTAACATTTCACTGGAGATTCACCACCACAACTGCATTCCTCTCTCTACTTGCATTTCAGGAAGACAGTAGTCACAAGGTGAATCCATTTCACATCTCATACTTGTTTGAGCTCACCCGTAGATCTTGTAGAGGGTATCGCATTTCATGATAAGACTTTGAAAACAATGTTGTGTATGCTTGAAGTCTCCCCAGGAAGGCAACACTTACTCATCAATCTCAAAGTAAAGTCAGCACGAATAAGGCCCTCAAACAAATAAGACACTAATTTCTTCCATCTCCTGAAAGAGGAAGCTTGTCCTAAAGGAAAAAACAGTTCACTGAAGCCTTGATATTGAAAAAAGTTTACTGCACTATTTCTCATATATGCACTGATCAGATACTGTGAAGAGCTTAATATTAAAACAATTCTTTTACATAATTTTTAGAAATTATTTGAATGAGTAAATTCTAATTTTAAACATTTAAATCATGATTTTTAAAAAATGTTAATGTCAAAATTTTCCAGGGGGAAAAAAAAAACTTTTTTATTTTTCTGGCTCATCCTATCTCTACTCTCCCTAACTTCACAACTTCGGGGGGGTGGGAGCAGGATGAAGTGGCAAGTCAGTCACAAGGGATAACCCCACACCTTACATATCTCCGGAGTAACTAGTCCAATATACACTTGTACAATATTGTGAAAGTGAGCAAAATAAATATGACAGGGCAGGCAACACAGGGAGTAGTCATTCATTTATCCAACAAATGTTTATCCTGTGCCTATTTCGGCCCAAGCACAATGCCAGGCATTAGAGATATAAGAGTTAGCAAGATGGACACAGTCCTGGCTCTCAGATAAAGCTGAATCAAAAGGAGGAAACAGGCATTAAACAATTGTGATAAGTTCCGTAACTGAGAAGTGCAAGAGCTACGAAATATGAAGGGAGACTTACCTTAGTCTGGGAGTAACGAGGTCAAGAAAGGCTTCCTAGGGGACATTTAGGCTGAGACTTCAAAGAAGACTAGGGGAAGAGCATTCTGGGCATGTGCAAAGTCCCTGGGGTGGGAATGGGCATTATGGCTGGAGTGTAATGGGAGTAGCAGACGCTAAGACAGGAAGAGGATGAGGTAAACAGGCATCAGATCTTGCAAGGCTCTCTAAGCAGTGACAAGGACTTTTTACTTTATTCCAATGAAATCAAAAAGTTTTAAAAGGTGTTAAGCAGGGGAATTATCTGATCAGATTTAAATTTCTAAACATCATTCTAACGAGGAGAAAGCACAGTGCAGCTCCTAAGCCAGAACCCCCCAGCTCCCAGCCTTAGCTCTCTCTCTTTCTGGTCATACCATGTACCCTTCTGGATCCTCCACAACATTTCATTTCTGTGTCACTTTTTGGAGCACCTACTTATATACCACCTGATCACATACTAACCATTTCCTATTTCACATCCTCTAATTTTAACTCTCCACTCTGCTCTCTCTATTCTTATGTCTTATATCCTTTTGTGTATCTTCATGGTCCTAAGCATATAACAGGTATTCAGTGAATACTTCCTAAGTAGATTTAAGGTTTGACTGGCAAGGGTCTTCTAAACTGTGGAACAGAGAATTGCCAAGACTCCCTCCTGGTTTCTCTTTCCTTTGCACACATGTAACAGTCTTTTGGGCACAGGAGCGTTACATAAAGCCTGTATTTTTAAAGTGACCAGTGATGGCCCACTACAAAAATGGTGCTTCTCAGAGGACCAGCTGTTGAGGCTACCATCACATTTGTCAAAGAAACAAGATCAGTTATGGTCACTTCCCATCAATCACCTCCAACTATCTTTCTCCACCCTTAACTAACCCATGGCCTATGCTTCATAGATATAAACTACCCTCTTCCCCCCCCGTGCCATCCTAGAAGACTCAACTGTGAAGTCCATATAGCTTCCAAACACCTCGAGGTTGCAGGGCACACCTATTGGTCTATTTATCTCCTGAGTTCGGAATCAAATTACTCTCTACCCAAAGACCTTCATTTAGAATATTGCTGCAGTCAGAATGATGCCCTAAACTTTAGGGAAAGAGACAAAGTAGCAAAGAAAAAAGAGAAAAAAGACAGGAGAAAGCCTACTCCAAGTTTCACTAGTTTGCCAAGTTCATACCTTTGCAGCGAGCCGACACTCCATCACCCTGATATTGAAATGAGAAGTTGCTGCCTTATTCATTTCCACACAACTGTTGGCAATCACAAATACTGCTCCACTTGGGAGTTTCACATCAGTTGCCCTCAGAGGACTAAATTCTATCAACTTGGCCTATTGGAAGAAAAATGACAGGTGAGATATAATGTATTAGAACTCAGAAAATGTTTAATCATTTATCTATTTATTTACCTTAGCAAAAATTCTTCATAAAAATGTACTCATTCAATTCAAATATTATTTATTGACTTCCAGGCACTGTGCTAGGTACTGGAGATACAACAGTGAACAAGACAGACACTGACTCTGCCCTCATAGAGCTTACTATCTAGCAGGAAAGACAATCAAGTGGACAAATACATTTCTAGGTTGTGTGACAACAGTAGCAAAGCACACGGTGCTTCATAGGCACATAGTTGAAGCACCTGATCACCTAGTATAGACTCCTTTGAGAAAAGGGAAATCTAGTCTTAAAGGATGAGCAAGAGTAGGGCAGACAGAGGATTTCTTGACCCAGATAGGAAATCAAAAAGAGGGAAGAGCATACGCAAGTTCAGAGGCAAAAAAAAAAAAACGTGAGGTGTTAATAAAGCTTTGGGTATTGAAATTTGCCCGGAGCTCAGAGTTTGAGGGTTGAGGGTTGGTGAGAGGGTGGAATGAAGAGGTAAAGCAGGAGCCAGATTGTGAAGTACGCGCTTTGCAAGCGCAAAGAATGTGGACTTTGTTCAGACTCTATAGCTAACTTATATTAACGTCGGCACTCTTGCCACCATGTCTGCTTGTCAGGTCTCATCCAAAACACCCAGATTATTTTCTTAACATTAAACCACATTTCCTCATGGTTCATGTCTTTGGCTTAGAGGAATCAACAATAAATATTCTTAATAAGAAGAAATCCAGGTATTCTTAGAAAATAGCCAAGCTTGTAGGAATCTGATGAAAAACTAAGAAAAGATTTTAAAGAAATGTCCACTTCTATTTTGGAAATGGGTAGTTTATGGGCAACAACCGAAACCTCTACTCTGCCTAAGGGAGTTGATAGCCAAGGGAAAGTGGTATCCAGCTAAAGAATTCATCCCTGGCTTACTGTCAACATTCTTTTCCCACCACTGAAGCCCCAAAAATGTTGACAGAGAAAAATGATACTGAAAAGTAAATTATAAAAAGAGGGGTTGTGAATATATGTGGTAAGAGAAGTTAACATTTGGGTTTAAAACCAACAAGAGATTATGAAAATGCCATGAGATGAAGTGATTTGGGACAAGAGCGGGAAAGGTGGTCCCAATAACTAGGGAGTTGAGAAATCTCATCTTAACAATGAAGAGAAATAGAAGGGGGAAAAGACTAGGCACAAGAGAAAAACAGATCTGAGGTATGATTCTGGGAGCCTAAGGAAGAGGTGACCAACATGAAACAGAATAGGTGAACTGGTAGCAGCCTTGAATTACAAAGCAGATAATAAATACCATTTATAATAGAACCTAATAGAATTGACTGCCCAGAACCTCTCCATATGAAGTTGGAGTTCATATTTCCAAATAGCTCAATGTTACATACAGTTCCTTCTTCTGCAAGAAATGATATGGACTGGTCCATCCCTCCTCCTTCAGTGCCGATATAACGCTCGCTCTTGGCACAGATTTCCGCAAGTTCCACCTGAAAAAGTAAAATTTGATTTGCACTGTGAGTACAGTCATAATTTATTTCTCATTCATTTCTTACTCCAGGCGTGACAGATAGGTTTGAATTCCAGTGCCAACTCTGATCAGTTGACAAAAGTTGCCTGAAGCACTGTGTAACAAGGACTCTAAGACTACCATTGAGCTCAATAGGAAAACATAGCATGATGAATTAACGTTTGCAGTGGGATGGAATGAGATACTTGCTGCGCATGCCATGTATTTGTTCTCCATAAAAGACTTTACAGGGCAAGCAGTTTCTTCCATCTTTTTCTTTGCTCCATCCCTCTCTAGACTAGTATCACCAAAAATCTCATATGGGTACTCACTCATTTCTCCCTTCCTTTGTCTTCCTTTGTTTCCCCACAGTGGACTTTTCTAGTATCCACACAGCCAAAGTGGGGTCATGCAACTTTATCCTCCAGTCAAAAAGTAATGCTGTCTGTGTGGCATTTCCATTAAATGTAAGAATCATCATGAAATTCTTGTCATTTCACATCCCTTCCATCAAGAAAGATCATGAACTAGCATCATCTCCCCAGACACATCTTCCTCCAACCATGATGAAGAGGCCCAACACACAAATGCAGTTCTAACCCAAATTGAGTATGTCAAAATATGTGTTTAAGAATCTTCAATGGCTTCCTACTGATTAATGAAATAAGTTTAAGCTCCTCAATCTGGCATTTCAAAGCCTTCTAAAATGTGCAAACAATTTGCATAGGAAATCATATTATCTACCACTCTTTTCCAATTAGATTTGTCTCCTTGACCATCTCACGCATTTGTGCAACCTGGTATTACTCCCTATCTTCTCTCATATAAATCCCATAGCCAGTCAATACCCAGCTTACCAATTACCTACTATGGACAAGTCACTGGGCTGACCACTCAAATCTTCTTCCATCATAAAGTATTCCTCTAATATTGTTCCTACTATGGCATCCCCTTTCTCTGAACCTCTATAATCATCCATTTACTCACTCTACTATTCATCCATCCATCCATTCATTTTTTTCTTTCTTCTAAGACTTGATTCAGGCCCTTACTATTTCTTACCTGTTTTTACTGGAAGATCCTCCTAGAATGATCATTCTGAATCTGATAATCATCTCTGGCCTGCTTGGTTGCCAACACTTTGATGCTCATATTGCTCAACATGTCTTTAGTCCATAAAGACACAATGTCTTTAATGACATCCCTCGCTCACTTCTCCAGCCTGCTCTCCTACCACTAACCCTGGAAACCCTAAGTTCAGACCATCAGGAATACTGAACAAATACTTTTCTTTATCACCCTTAAGCTCTTTCATCTCTCAGTGCCTTTCAAAGTGTGATTTTTGGTCCTCCTCACTCAATACTCCTCTCTCCGGCATCCCCCACTAGTCATCAGGATCAACTCAAGCATTGCCTCTCCCTGGAACCCACACCACCACCTAAATGCACACACACCACATAACGCCTCCTCTACATCCTTGTATATTAATTATTCTATTCTCATTTATCAAGCCATGCTTTAAGTGTGGATTTACTTGTGTTTTTACCCACCAGTCTGTGAGAGCCCACTTAACTAATGTGACTGAATCACGTAGTGTTTATTACCATTCTTTAATTGTGTTAGGTTTCAATCACATCTGTTTTCCCTGGAAAATTGTCAGTCTTATAAGAGACAGACAAATTCTGGTGTTTCTATTGTGTCCCCAACCTCACACAATGCTGAGCAACATAGTAAATAATAAATACCTGCTGCTTTCTCTTTCTGAGAATAGCTGCCCCAATACTATCTGAGAGATTCTGTGTCATATTCCTTGTTGGTCATGTGGATTCACTAACATTAACTTCGCCTTGTGACACGAGGTAAACTTGGGACTTTGATGTAATGGGTGTCACACATGGCCTTGCTAAACACACAGCCAAGTGACCTGCCCATAATAGGCACATTAAAAATGCATCAAAAACTAATGATGTACTGTATGGTGACTAATATAACACAATAAAAAAATGAACTAAAAAAATAAAGTAGCAGGGCGCCTGGGTGGCTCAGTCGTTAAGCGTCTGCCTTCGGCTCAGGTCATGCTCCCAGGGTCCTGGGATGGAGCCCCGCATCGGGCTCTCTGCTTGGCGGGAAGCCTGCTTCTCCCTCTCCCACTCTCCCTGCTTGTGTTTCCCCTCTCGCTGTGTCTCTCTCTGTCAAATACATAAAATCTTTAAAAAAAAAATAAAGTAGCAAATAAAAGGTCAAAACACCTAGATTTTAAAATGTAAAGAAACAATATACCCAGGTGAAGAAGTTCACATAGCATTCGGTTAAGAATGATGAGACCTGAGTCTCTGTCACCCTCAGCCAGTGTGAAAAGTCACCTCCCCAACAACATTAATAACAGCCACATTTACATGCTAAGTACCTGGCATGATCTCTTCTGTGAGCAGTATCCTTTCTGGTTATCCTCCTTACACAGATGAGGAAAATGGGACTTGGAGACATATAACAGAAAACGGAAAAGCCACTTGAACTTCATCTGCCTGACTCCATAGCCTGTGCTCTTTTCACACTGGACTTCATTAATCCTCTCCTGGCCCCACCCCGTTGGGGATAATATAACCTATTTTCTCAATACCTCAAAGGGATGTGAAATGATAAATGAGATCACCAAAAGTTAAGTATCCTCCCTTTTATGAGAAAAGAAACTAAAGCACTGAGAAATATATGCTTATTGATTATTTAAAAAAATGTCTTCCATGTGGCAACAATAGGATAATTTTACTTTAAACAGGATGTTAATTTTTCCAGACTATCTATCTGGACAAATTTCAGAGAGACCCCAGAAGCCCCCAGCAGCTCTGTGTCAAGGAGAGTCCACCTGCAGGGATATGGACATGCCTATACTTTGCTGAATTCTGACAGATGGATCCCATGACTGCACAGACAACAGCCAAGAGTTCTAAATATGAGGAAACAAAAGAAAATGAAGATATGGAAGCCAGAATATAAAAGAAAGGATGATTCATTTTACAGTCCCCCCAAAGCGCATAAGAAAATCAGTAGTAAATAGGGAGGAAAAAAACCAGTACCAGACACCTCCAAACCTTGGTTAAAGCCCCAAAGCTCCTGCCAACTAGCTGTTGTAGATTTCTTAATTTTTCCATTTCCATGTCTTCATATACTGTTAATAATAATAATGATAGTTTTAGCAGTTAAGATTTATTGAGCACTTACTATATGCCAGGCACTGTTCTAATTACTTTGTATGAATTAATTATTTACTTCTTATAATGACTCTATAAGATAGGTAGTATATACTCATTTTACAGATGAGGAAACTGAGCGGGCTTATTAGCTGAGACTAAACTAGTAATTACAAAAGGTGAAATTCAACAAATTATCTAACTCCAAAGCCTATACTCTTAATCACCGTGCTATTATAACCTCCCATAATACAGAGAAAAATACCCACCTCCCTAGCTATGGGATTATTGTGATAATCCAATGAATTAAATAAAAATACCGCATAAACTCTAAAGAACTATACAATTGTTAATTTTATTATTTGTACATAATGAATAAGGAATCATTTGATTTACACAGTAGCTAAGTTCCAAGCCAAAAGTAAAGACAGATAGGTATAATTATTCTGGAAAACAGAACCATTTTTAAAAGTGTTTCAGAGAAGACAGAATATAAAAGATTCTGGATGCCCCCAGGAGAACTAATTTAACAACAGGCAGTAATAGAGCCTGAGACAAACAGGAGAGAGTGTGTGCTCCATTTGAAAGAGTTTAGTCTTACTAGGCATGGGTGGGGGGGGGGTCCCTGCCTGCCAAACAAAACATGATTGTAGTAGAAACTTCAACTGCAGGCCTGCAAGTGGCTTTTCCAGTGACCCTAGCCCTTCACCCCCATACCAAAAGCAAAAAGCCAAATCCAAAATGGTTATGACATGTGAAGAAACTAGAAACCAAAGTTTTTTTTAAATCTCAAATCCTGATTAAGCAAAAAAAAATTGCATTCTTCTGTAGGTCCATAGCCTTAGCCAGAGACGTCATGACCCAAACTCAGAAACCCACTAATAGAGGGACCTTAACAGCAGGGGGTGTAAATGGGAGCAGAGAATGCCTGTCATTCTGGATAATGTGAGGGATACATGTGAGCCAGCCATGCCTATTCTGTCTTTGGGGACCCTGGAAATAGAACTATAAAAAAGTCCTCCAAGAGTTATAATCCTTGCAAAGAAATAAATCAATACTCCATTCAGATTTGAAGTTGTGTAAAATAGCAATAGATTTCAGGAGAGTAAGAAGATATGTCAAAAACACATTAACATGGTGTATGCAAAGAAACCTATCAGAACTTCAAACAAAGATCAAATAGAATTTGAGGACCCAATTCATTTTAACAAAGGATAAAGTTATCTTTTTCCTGGATGTTTAAAGGATTCTGAGGCTCCCCCATTTCTCCTATCTCCCCACACCACACACACACACACACACACACACACACACACACACACACACACGCCCTGAGAACCCTCAGGCAATAGCAAAGCTCTAAGTGAAAAGGGACTCATTCCCCTCCCCACCAATATATTTTCTTCTGCCCTTACACCTGAATACTTCAAGAACCCCAGGTGCCTCCAAAGTAGTCACTTGTAGCATTTAGCTCTATCACTTCCTATAAAATACTAATGTCTGAGAATCATTAGGGATGACAATTTGATTGCATGAGGAAATTTTCCAAAATTTACACCTAATAACTCATTTCTATTTTCAACTCCTGCTCTCTGGACAGTTAAGAGAAACCTGGCATTATTCATAGACGTTCTTTTAAAGCTACCAAAGATAGTTAAGCTAATTTAGCCCTTTGTGTGTTCTTCTCTTGAAGCAGCCTGGGAAAGAATCAAAAGTCACATGGGTTCCCAAATTAAACAGCTTACCCATCTGCTCACCAGTGGGGCACTGGTAAGAGGAGAAATAACAGGGT